GGCTTCATTTACCAAGCGAGAAATCAATTCGGTAATTAAAGTCGCCAATCCACTCTACGACGATGGACTAACCACCCGCTATGGACTTAATGAGCATATAAAGCATTAAATATATATATACATATATAATNAGTGATTTTAATCACTGTCAGATTAAATCTATACTGGACCCTACTATGCAATGTCTCCACTATGCCGCGACCCCACTGTGCTACCGTTTTTATTTATTTATTATTATCTTAATTTACTTTTAAAAATTTTACTAATAATACTCACCGACCATTCCTTAATGAGTTCTTCCCATTGAGTAAGAGAACAGAGTACAGTTAAAAACTGATCCCATAGGTTTTCAGAAATAGGTACATTTAAATTTGCTTTTATCCAAGTAACAATCAAAGTCTGAAAATAGAAAGATTTAACAATGAAATGAATAACAAAAAATTGTATTCTCAGGATTAATGTAAGTTCAGATATAGTATTATTCAAAATAAATTATAGATTATTTAATTTATTCAATAACATTTTTATTAAGTTGTTAAATAACCCAACATAAAATCAAACATTTTTTTGTGTCAAACAATATGTAAGTTAATTCTAAAAAAAGTTTCGTAGCTGATTTTGAAACAGTCATTAAAATTACCAGGTTGATACTAATTTTTAAGTTAATTAGCAAAAATCAAGCAATTATGTAATTAATGGTTCATTAAAAAAATTTTTTTTTTTTTAAAGACACTAAATTATACTGGTTTATATATTGATTTAATGTTTACCAACTTTTATTAAGTATTAGTGTACCATTCGATTTCACTTATCAGTCATATAGTGTTTCAGTATTTTTTATTTTCATAATAATGAGTTAATATTTAATAAAACCATAAAGTCAATAAGTTCAAAAAAACTTAATGAGTTTATACTTCAAATTTAGTTGATTACTTAGCAAATTGTTGCATGTTGAGTTTAATCTGAGCTAGCAGTTAAATTTATTCTGAACATAAAATCTATTGTATTTTAAGTATAATGACAAATAATTATGTATATCTCGTTATAGTTATGAATGGCGTTTTTTGAAATTTTGTTTTTTTAGCAATTAATTACATAATTACCAAATTTTTTGCTGTATACAATTTGTAAATTTAAGAGTATAAAAGAAAATCAATAAGAGTAACTTAATTGAACAATGTTAACATATTATGAGTGATACAATCATTCTGGGATAATTCTAATTTTAAAAATATATTGAGATATTCAGTTTAATAATAAAAAATAATAAGAATAAAATGTAATTTAAAAAATTCGAACATAACACATTATTCCCATTCAGAATTCCAGTTTTATTGAATAAAATTACAAATTTTTTTTATATTTGAAAAAAAAAAAAACATTTGTAAGATATTTAAAGATTTCAAACAGTGCAAATTATTCAATTTTACTAATTTATGTAGTTTATAAATGATATTTAATATTAATGAATTTTTTTATGAGAAGTTAAACAATAAGCAATAAAACAAATCATAACATTTGTTCAAAAAAATATTATCATGCAATGTTAATATTATTTCATAATTGAAAAAAAAAATATAGCATTCAAAATAATTATGATGAAGTACCTAAGAATAATTATCTGATTTTGGTATTTTCACTAGATCTGTTTATTAAAAACATTACATAATTTTATTCCTAAAGAAATTTTTTGAATAAATATTTTATTTTGAAAAATTAATACCTCATTACTCCTAAGTAGAGTCCAGATTTATATGAACTTATGATTTATAAATTTTATTCCAAACACATCATCAGCCAGTATAAATTTGTATTAAAAGACTTGAAAACTTAATAATGTGTAATTACGGGGGTTATAGTTTTGTTGGTGACTAGGGGGTTTATTCTCCCTAAAACGAAGATTATTTCTACACTACTATATATTTCAACAACAAATTTGAATAAACTTGGTTCTTTTCAAACTAAATTTATAAATACATATAAATCTGAACTCTATTCATAAGTGAACTAAATATTTTTATGAGCAGACAAATATATAACTTAAACCATTCAGGTAAATAATATCTACTAAACAAAAAATACTGAGGGACGGAGTGGCCAAGTCAGTAACATTGTAGTGCTTGATGCACATTGCCTCTGGTTCAAAACTCGGTCAAGGGCGGCTTCATTTACCAAGCGAGAAATCAATTCGGTAATTAAAGTCGCCAATCCACTCTACGACGATGGACTAACCACCCGCTACGGACTTAATGAGCATATAAAGCATTAAATATATATATACATATATAATACTAATTTTTTGAAAAATATTTAATTATGAAATTGTAAATTGGTTACTATATATAGCTAACTTTCTTTTTTCTTGCCTTAATCCCAACTACTTGAGATCAGCTAACTAATAAATATAACCAACTAAATTAAAATAACCTGAAATATAGCAGGGGATAATTTTCCAGAGAGTGTATCTTCTTTTCGTCTTGGTGGTTTTTTATTTAAAACAAGAGTTGTTATTCTCAATAATACATTTAATAATTGTTCCCTAGAAAAAAGAGTTAATATAAAAAATTAACATTAGGCAGTGCATAAAATGTATGTATAAAATTCTCATTAATCAGTACAATAAAAATATTATTGATTTTTTATTAAAACATTTCTTACCATGTTTTTACAGACATATATGTATGCATAACCATATATCTATATATGTTAAGCACTCTTTTACAAGTATCAACTTGTTCTTCTAATAAAGCTGGATATTCAGAGCCACTTTGTGTTACAAACACATATATAGCATTAGTCATGAATAATTGTAGAACATTCTGTAAAATAATTAAAAATTTGTCTTACATATATAAGAGTATGTAATGCAAAAACAAAAATATTTGTATTTGAAAAATGTAAATAGAATGTAAATGTCCCAAAAATTGTTTAAAAATTGAAAATAAGGAATTTATTTTTAAAAATTGCAAATTTTTCATAGTTTTTGAAATATATATATATTTTTTTTAAATATTGAAGACACTCAAGAGCTCTATTTTGATACAGTTTAAAAATGTATCGGAACATTTTCAAAAATTTTGAGTTGAAAAATATTGCTTAGAAGTAAAAATGGATGGTCTATTTCAAAACCTTCTTTCAACTTTATATCAAAGTTATGTTGAAACTACTAAAATTTTTTGTTTATTTATTAGAATCAAATAATAAAAAATATTCTTTAAACATAAACCAAATCATGAAAAATTATTTAAACAAAAATTGACACAAAATAATCACTGGTCAAAACATCATCTATATATATGAATAACTAACTGCAGATACTGAACATTTTTACTCAGATACTAAGTCCATTTTTCAGGAAAGATGAAATACTGTCAAGAATATGTATATTTTTATTCGTAAAATTTAATTTTTATACTATATTTGATTTTTTGGTGGTTAGATATGACTTCTTTTTATAGTAAATTATGTATTTACAACTTCTTAACACAAAATTATAAAAAATAAAATATTCAAATGGATTTATCCCCTTTTTACAGTTAGTTATTTATATATAAAATGTGAAATGATATTAATAAATTAAGGTACCTGAAATCCAGCTCTTATATCTCCAATTTTTGGTTCATATCGAATAATATTGTTCTATAAAATACATTTAACAATATTTTAGCTATAAAGTATACTGTCATTAATTNTCTTTCTTAAATGGTATTAAATTTAGTTTTTTAAATGGAAACATATATTTTAAACTAACTTTAAAATAAGAAAATGACTGATTGATAAATACAAAAATTTTTTTATTGAAAAAAAAAAAAAAAAAAAATTGACTATTTTTGAACTTACATCTGAATTTTGTGAAGATGACATATCTGGTTCCAACATAAATGGAGGTTGTTGAGAAACCTGAAAATAAATACATCAAAGCATTTATAATTAAATACTATCAAATAGTTTTAAATTAAATACTATTTAATGTTTAAAATTTTTTATTAAAATTTCCTATCATTCAAAAAAAAAGGTATTTTAAACTAGTTATTTGTTTAAGCTAAAAAAAATATAAATAAAAGTTCTACTATGTTTTTGTAAATTACCATCAAAATCAAAATTGGAGGCCATGTTAAGTGGCTTAAATTTGAGATATGGATATCAAATTTTGAAAGTACTTCTTAAATAGTTACAAATAGTGCATTTTAATTGTTTTTTCACAAGCAATTAATTATTTTATTTTCATTAGTTAACTTTTACCTAAAAAACTAGAATTAATCGGATAATTCTAAGGCCAAATTCAGAATAAGTGACAAAATTTCATTCTGAATCTACTATGATATTGTTTAGTAAAGAAAAGCGTTAAGCAGTGTAATTTGATAGTTTACGTAATTTATTTTCAGTTTAAATTTTTAGAAAATTGGTTCATATATGATAAATTTAAATATTTTATGATTACTTAGTTTATAAATTATAATCTAACTAATATTTATACTAAAATAGTAATTAGAGAGTATGAGAAGGTATTTTACCATATGTTTATTTTTTTAACACTATATTTGATATGATTTACTTCAAGTATTTAACTAACTAAACTATGAGGAATATTAAAAGATTCTAACATCTAATTATTCTAACTATTATCTAACTAATTTTGTTTAGAAAAAAAAAAAAAAAACTAACCAAATTAGTATTAAAAAATGTTTGCAATGCTAAGCTTAATTTATATATAACTGCTCTAGATGTATATAGTTGAACTTATCTAAATTTATAAGAAATACAGATGAAAACACTAAAAATCATATAATGAAATTTTGTTTGGAAAATTTAAGCGTTCAACTATGTAGAGATGACTGCAACAAACTTGTCAAATTACGTGTTATTTTTCTGAATAAACCTCTTAATGGTGTAAAATTCCATTACCATGATGATTCACCATTCAATAATTTATTTTTTTTTAAAGTGTTAATTAATTCTCATAATTCTATTATATCTAAAGCTGCTACACAAAACATTTTATGGTTATTTATGATGTTAATCACCTGAAAATGTGACTACCATTTTTTAATGAGAGTACTAATAGGTATTAAACTAAAAATGGTTTAAACAGCAAGGTAGTCACCACAAAAGAAAAAATAGGAAAAAAAAATTAATTTAAAAGATATTTGACTATTTTTCAAAAATATAAAATCACTTCTTTAGTCTATACCTAAGGCACAATGAGTATTTTATATCCTAAGAAGCAAACTTTCTTTATTTTTACAAATTTTAACTATTGAGTTTGTAAAATTTTTAATAGAAAAATAACAATAAAAACTTCATTTCTTACACTAAGTTGGATCCATTCTTTATAAACAGCTATAGTTCTTCTAATAGCCATAGCCCAAGTAAAATTTAACAAAAATGCTTGTCGAAAAATTTCATGGATTAAATTTACATTTTCTCTTGATTTGTATAATGTATCTCTAACAATCTCAAATGCTTCCAATTGTGATTTATCCCTTAAAAATATATATAAAAAATATATTCATATTATTTATTTGATCACCAATTGTCAGTTATTAGTGCTATAAGTTATGTTTATAAATATTAACATAGTATACATTCATACCCAATGAGTTTTGAAATCATAGTTATATTTGGATAGTTAGTATTCTTTTGCTTTATGTCTTGAGTATATCCAGCAAGCCATTTAATTACACAAACTCGACAGCTACTATAGGCATCACTTCTGCTTTGAAATAAACTATCAGGAATTTCTGTAATTAAAATATAAATATAAATTTAAATTATTATAGTAATATACCATAGTAAACTAACCTATAGTAGGATTGTATATATCAGTAGATGTTGAGTAATCTGGAAATATAATAGGTAAATAATATTGCTTGAATTTTTCAAATAAATAGTTAAAAGATCGTCTCTGATAGTTTTTTTGATCTTTCCATATTATTCGGGGAACCTAAAATTATAGAAAAATTATAATTTACAAGGCAAATATTTTTTTTTACAATTAAAAATACAAGTAATTTTAAACAAAATTAATAGTATACTATATACTATAGTTATAAAAATTTGGCACTTTCCCCTATCCTCTTTCTTAAATGGTATTAAATTTAGTTTTTTAAATGGAAACATATATTTTAAACTAACTTTAAAATAAGAAAATGACTGATCGATAACAACATTTGAACCAGTATATTAATAATATTTGTACTTCTAAATTAGGAGTAATGTAGTTTACAAACACCTAGAGATAATAATTAACACACCAGCGCATCTCGTTTTGATAATAAATTGTTAATTACTTCCTAAATACTATTTCTAAAGTTGACAATGACCGGTCATTTTTTAGTTGAATCATTTTCTTAATTTTAAGCTACTTAAACATGAATGTTTCCGCCTGAAAAACTAAAGTTAATATTATTTTAAACAGGTAAAGAGAGATAGAACTAAATTTTTTTTTTAAGAATTACAGAAAGTAGTATATTTTTGAAAAGAAATATTATATCAAATTTTATATATTAAAATTAATTAATTTTTATTTTATTTTTGTAACTAGATATTATTTGAATCATAGTTAAACTCTCACCCTATACATAGTTTTGGTTTTATACAATGATTTTAAAATAAAAATATTACTTATATAAAAAACTAACTTATCATTTATTCGAAAATTAACAAAGTGGTACATACCTGATTAACCATGAATTCAAGAAGTGATTCTAGATAATATTTGACTAGATCATCAGGTTGCTTTTCCCCCGCTTGAGGCCCATATAAAACAGTTATCTCTAGAGGTCCTATAGGATCTAATTTATAAAAATAAAAACAATACAAAATTATTCAACAATAAATAATTTCTGATAAGAATATTTAAAGAAAAAAAATACATTGCTTTTGATCTATGAAGTTATTAGTACTAATCTGACTTGACCAAAGAGTAATCAATCCTGGATGCTCAGGTATGGGACTGGGAAAACTTGGGACAAGAGTTGCAAACATTGCATGCACAGAATCTGGAGCACTGTAACCCAAAGCTTGATACCACAGAACAAAAAATCTAAACATAAATGTTAGTATTAGATATTTATTTAAAATAATAATAATCAAATTTAATAATTACTTGATTCCTTCTCGTCTTAAACGCCAAGAATTTTCGGGATGTAATAATTTTGTAATAATCATACAAATACTGTGGCATTGCCATCTTTGGGCTACAACTTCTGGACATAACGTTAATACTTTTTCCAAAATTGTAAGTATAGTATCTAATTCATCTTTATAAATTTTAGTAACTAAACAGAAATATATTAATAATTATTATACTAAGTGTTATGTACTTAAAAGGTAAAGAAAATTAAATAATAATTAATTCGAAAGTTCAATAATCATAAATTTACATAAATCAATAATTTACGTAACTGTTTAAATTTTGGTGCAAATAAAATATGAAAAAAAGTTAAATTTAATAATAAATTAATTAAAAAAAATATATATATATATATATATATAATAAAATTTAATCTACCCGTTATTTATAAAATATTTGCAATTTAATGTTTTATAATAAAAAATTACTACTCCAATAATAAAATAGTATATGAATTTTAAATGATTACTTACCTCTTTGTTTTAAATTGATTTCAATATTTAAAAAATTTTCATAAAATATTTGGTAGATACTACTATAGTTATTCTCAAATAAATGTTTACATTCATTTTCATCACAATTATCTAAACAAGTTAAAATTTAATATTAATTTAAGTACTTAAATGGATTTATGTGTTTTTATTACCAATTAATAATTTGAGGTGTTTAAATCTGGTTGCAGTGTCTTTTTTAGGGTCTAATATTTTGTGAGCCGATTTTTTCACATCGGCCTGCACTTTTTTACTAAACATTCTGTTGATCAATACATCCAAACATAGTTTTGACTTTGTTAAGAAACAGTTAGTTTAAATACACTATACTATATTAGAAATAAAAGAGTCGATTTTTAGTATTAATGTTATGAATAAATTACTATTCTAAATATTTTTAAATGTTTACAAATACGCAAAAAATTATACATGAATACTGTAATTGTAATAAATAATACGTAAGAATCACTTAAAAAGTAAAAATTCTGAAATTTCAATTACAAAAAACTTTTGAATTACAATTTATCTAACGTGTTATCAATAATATTATCAACATCAACATAATTTATTATTTAAATATTCGGCTTCCGTGAAACGTTTTAATTGTAAACACAACGTTTCCATTATTACATTCAACTAAATTTTGTCATTGGAATGGAATGTAGTCGAAAATAATTTATTACATTTATAAAAATTTTACTGGTAAATTTTCTGTATTTAATATAGTTTTAGTTTTATTTACCCACAACACTTAAATAACATTGTTCGTTTGGGGGGCTGGCGAAAGGACTTTAGAATGTACCACGCTACGATAATCGAAAAGAACCGTCAATAAGACCTTTAAAATTGTAGTAGTATTAAATTAAGTATTAATAATGAGATTAAAACTCTATAAAATGAGTAATAAAATGAGGCAAAATTAAAGCGTACTCATAATACATTAAATGGGTAAGAGACAAGCAAATACATAAATAAATAACTGTTTAACCAGGTATTTTTTACTCAAAATAACAAAAAAAATCAGAAATTTAATTGATTTTTGTAATTTTACAATTTAATATAATATTTAATTATAATGAATAAAAAAAGGGATAAGTCCCAAAATATATTTTTTTCAAAATATTATGTGTTTCAATAAATGAGACCATTACTAAAAAATTGTAGTAAAAATTATAAGAATAATTATTAAAATTTAATAAAATAATGTTAAAACTTTATCAATTTTAAAATAAGTATGAAACATATTTTTTTAGAGCTACGTTGAACTTTCACTCCTAATCAAAATTATTTTAAAAATTACACGATAACAATTTTATACGAAAATGAAATTTTGGCATTGCTTAATATTGATTCATAAAAATATTCTGTATCCAATCTAAAAATATTTAAGTTTTATAAAATTAATTTATTAACTTTAAAAAGTATTTTTAAAGAGTGATTTATATCATAAACAAATCAATTATTATATAATAAAAATTGATCACTTGTGGCTAATTAATTAAGTAAAATTAAAACTATATTAAAAATATTATTAATTTAAAAAACTAAAAAATATTAAAAATATTAAACTAAAAGCCACAAAAAAATTAATGAAAAGTCGCGGATACATATTTCGGAAACAATGTTACCATTATCAACGCTAAACACATACTATTGAGTACTTTTCATTAATTTTTTTGTGGCTTTGAGTTTAATATTTTTTAGTTTTTTAAATTAATAATATTTTTAATATAGTTTTAATTTTACTTAAATCAATTATTGATTTTTAACTATAAAATGTAATTAAAAATTTCAATATTCGATTCATACACCGTATAATTTTACCCCAGTTTATCCTAAGCAATCGGTGTTTTAATTCTCAAAATGAAATATGTTTTAAGTCATAAAGTAGAAAGGAGAGTATTTATTGGTTCTGACCGCACATAATATTTTACATGAAATAACAATCGTCTATAGATGAAACAACAGTCAAGGTCAGACTTATTTCTCCCTCCATACATCTGTGACCTGTGTGAAAAAACTCCACGTCATTATATAAATCCAATCATTAAGTTAATAAGAGTATCTACTTTCTCTAAGAATGTCTTCAAAGCAAGCAAAAATCTTGCTTATAATTATTTTATATGATAGTGTTGTGATCACTGTTAAATATCATCTATACTTTTTTAACGATATCGCATCACCAATTTTAGCTTCGATGCGAAGGTATTGGTTTTACTATGATGTGTTTTTTTTTTTTTTTTTGTGTCTGTTACCACTTTTTCTCAGCTCTCACCGAACGGATTTCTTTCAACGATACGTCAAAAGATCACAAATATGAGCTACATAATTATAGCAATGAATTTAATTCATAATAAACATATATTAATGCTTATTATAAGTTAATAAATATTGTGTATTAAGGGTCTCTATTAAATTAAGTCCAAAACTTTGAATGTTATTGGAATTTATAAAAATTAAATATGTGCAGTGGGGTTGCAGAACAGTGTTGGAAATGGTCCGATTTAAAAAAAAAGTATATCTAAAAAAGTNGAAATGGTCCGATTTAAAAAAAAAGTATATCGCATAAATGAAAATATAAATAGTACTTATCTTAAAAAAATTTTAATGATGCATTTTTCAAAAAGCTATAGCATTATAAAGTTAAAAATATAAAAAATAATTTTTTTACAAAAATTGTATTTTAGCTTCGAAGCTGAGAAGTTATCAATTTTACCATGTGTTTTTTTATATATTTTTTTGTGTCTATTGCCACTATTTCTTAGCTCTCACTGGACCAATTTCTTTCAACGATATTATAGTTATTACATTAGATTTGTATCAATGCATATTTAGACATATTTTTTGGAATAGTTTAAAGTATTGACATAAATATTTTATATTTAAATTGATGATTAATATAGAATGATTTATAGACTACTGAATAATAAATGGTGTATATATTATACCATATAATAAATATTTATTCATATATTACACTTTAAATCATAAAACTTGTAATCAATTTAAAGGGATATATAAGATATAGTAGATAAATTTNGGATATATAAGATATAAGGATATAGTAGATAAATTCATGTGAAATCCGATTCATTTTTTATAATATGATTTATATAGTAACATGTTACCAAAATATTTACATTTTAGCTTCGTTGCGAAGCTGAGTAGGTATTGGTTTTACTATGATTTGTTTTTTTTTTGTGTCTGTTACCATTTTTTCTCAGCTCTCACCGATTTCTTTCAATGATACGTGAAAAGATCACAAATCGTATNCAACGATACGTCAAAAGATCACAAATTGTATCTAGTCGAAGACATTACCCTTCAAAATTGAAAAAATTTCCCTCGTTCCCCGTAAATGGGGGAAACCTCCAAAAAAATTACAATTTTAAAAATCGCTAATTTTCGAAATTTTCGAAATTTTTTTTACTGAAATCTGCCGTAACTTTTTCAAAAATGAACATATGAATATAATTNTAACTTTTTCAAAAATGAACATATCAATATAATTTTTTTTTATATAGATGCTTGATGTCTTTACTTATCATTTGGTATATTTTTTTTGTAAATCTGACACTTAACCTGCCCACAGGGGGTGTTTTAAAATGACAACTTTTTCACAACAAATTTACTTTTTCAACTTGACATTTGAAAATGTTCAGGAAAGTCTGACACTTTTATATATATCTTNTGTTCCGGAAAGTCTGACACTTTTATATATATCTTAAATTAAAACTAATGTAATGTGCTTTATTATGAAAAAAAAAAAATTTCGAACTTTATTTGGTCTTCACGATAAAAATAGCTACCAAATGTTATTTTTGTGTGAAAATTTTCGATTTTATAATTTACATTTTTTACTTTAAAGTGCTATAACTTTTTAAAAAATGTATGGATCAATACAATTTTTTCATGAGAAGTAGTATTTATATACATCTTTCATTGGATATACTTGTTTTTTAAATCAGACTATTTCCCTATATACGAGGGGGCTTCAAATATAAAAAATGCATATAGAAAGTAGAACTTTTTCAACTTAACTTTTGAAAGTGTTCCGGAAGGTCTGACACTTTTATATATATCTTAAATTAAAGCTAATGTAATGTACTTTAATTTGAAAAAAAAAAATTTGACCTCTGGACTTGTCTTCATGGTGAAAACGGCTACCGAATGCTATTTTTGTGTGAAAATTTTCGATTTTATAATTTACATTTTTTACTTTAAAGTGCTATAACTTTTTAAAAAATGTATGGATCAATACAATTTTTTCATGAGAAGTAGTATTTATATACATCTTTCATTGGATATACTTTTTTTTTAAATCAGACTATTTCCCTATATATGGGGGGGCTTCAAATATAAAAAATGCATATAGAAAGTAGAACTTTTTCAACTTAACTTTTGAAAGTGTTCCGGAAGGTCTGACACTTTTATATATATCTTAAATTAAAACTAATGTAATATACTTTAATTTGAAAAAAAATTTGACCTCTGGACTTGTCTTCGTGATGAAAATGGCTACCAAATGCTATTATTGTGTGAAAATTCTCGATTTTATTTTTTACATTTTTAACTTTATAATGCTATGACATATTGAAAAGTGTATGGATCAACATAATTTTTTTATGAGAAATAATATTTTTTAATAATCCCTTTTTCATTCGACATACTTTATCTTAATCAGGATATTAATAAGGAACTAGCAGTTTATGAAGCTTTTGGAATAATCCACCAATTTTTTAAAATTAAACACTATCTAAAGATTTGCATCGAAGCGTTTTTTTTTTATAGTGATTTTAATCACTGTCAGATATCATTATACTGGATCCAACTATGCCACGTCACCACTGTGCCGCGACCCCCCTGTGCTGGGTTTTTTTTTTTTAGTTTATGTTTACAATGTACGTATAAAAGTTATCGGCTGAATCTATTTGTAATTATAAGATGATTTTTTTTATTTGAAATATACATTGTTACAATGTATAATTTAAGAATTTAATTAATAAATTACAACATGACATGTATACCAATATAACAATAAGCTATATATATACTTTTTAAATGTTTAAAAATATATCAATGTAATTTTGTATAAATAAACATAATTATATAAAAGAAACAGAAAATAATAAACAATATTTAGTAGCAATGTGTTAGACATAAGGTTNTAATAAACAATATTTAGTAGTAATGTGTTAGACATAAGGTTATAAATAATGTGTAAGATTTTATAGAACAAACGGTAGAACATTATGAAATGTAGATCATTATTGACAAAAACGTAATAAATTACAATTAATAAAAATATAATGGTAGCGTCGGTGATCACTTCTTGCCTTTGAAAATACCATCAAACTTAATATAAAAAGCCCAAAATAATGAGCATTCTGACTCAGATGTTAATCTGATGATGGTCAGTATATTCTCAATCGGTCAATGGCACTCAGTCATTCTAAAAGGTACATGCAAGAAGTGATTCGCCGTGTCTACGTTGTAATTGCATAAAAACAACATCAATTTCATTCAGAGAATTTATTGAATATATCAAGGTAGGAGACTAATAATTTCACCAAAAATATATAAGGTTTAGAATTTAATTTATAAGTACATAGATTAAGTAGGCATAAAGAAAAATCATGTGATTATCAATAATACAAAATATACCAAATAAATTTACAGAGTTATATCTTTGATACGTGTCTATTTCAGGAGTTATGTTGTAGGTTCATATATAGCCACCATACTACTATGGATAGATACACAAGATGACTCAATCTTACATATCATCTATAACCTTCAAAACTCGTGGAATTATTAATATTTAAGAACTGACAGTTAATCACAATAAATTTCATGCTAATAAAATAAAGATCACTTTATTTTTCTATCATCTTCTATCTTTCTTATAAACCCTCTTACTCATACCCCGAGTAATAATATTTTTAATACTACAAAAATAGTAGCTCAACCCAACCCTTTCATTCTTATTTATTCTTTCTTTTTGAGTTACTACAACATAATACATATATACTAACATATTAATAATAAGTGGTGTGTATTTTAGCTTCGATACAGAGATGAGAAGGTATTATTTTACTATATGTTTTTTTGTGTCTGTTGCCACTTTTTCTCAGCTCTCACTGGACCAATTTTGATGAACAATATATTAAAACATCACAAATTGTATGTAGTTGAAGACATTACCCTCAAAAATTGAAAAAATTTCCAAAAAAATTACAACTCTTAAAATCGGTTCGTCATTTTTTTCACTTTTTTTTTTCTTAAAACTACCATAACTTTTTAAAAAATTAACCAATCTACTTTATTTTATTTTAATATTTAAACCTTAGATATTTTCCTTTCATTTGATATCACTTTTTTGAAAATCTAACACTTAACCTGATCACAGGGAAGCTTTAAAATATCAATTTCTGCACAATAGTTTAATTTTTTAAACTTAAATTTTAAAATTACTCCGAACTTCAATCATATGTTAAAATAAAAGTATTGTTGTGTACTAGAAGTTAAAAAAAAAAAAATTGTCCCGACGACTCATATCTAAATATATTAGCTATATATATATATATATTAGCTAATACATGGTATTTTTGTGTTGTTATTCTGGGTTTTGTATTTTATTATATTATAAAATATCTTACAAGGGGAATACACTGACTTTGATGATTAGTATATAATTTAATTGACATAGAAAAAAGTTCATAAGATCTAAAAAGTTAAAATTATTCAAATTTTTTTTGCTTTTTTAAAGTTGAAAAAGTAATTTTAAAATTTGAACTAGTTTAATCAACTGACGAAAGCGACGAACAATTGCTGAATCGGTAACACTAGTGTCCTTCACGCTTAATGTACGAGGTTCGAATTTGTCTATTGCAATTAATATTTTTCATTTTTTTTGAGTTAAAAAAAAATGTTCAAAACATTTGATTTTTATCTCATTTTTATTCAGTAATTATAATCATTACCCCGTGACTGTAGTCCTCCTTGTTTGAAGAAATTTCATATTCATGTTAATATTATTTTACTATGCGTTTTTTTTTTTTTGGGCTGCGATATAAATTTTTGAAAATCTGATTCTAATGATTACTATGATTTCTATTTAATTGATCTATTACGATAAAAATACAAAAAAAATTAAGTTGAAAAAGTTAATTTTTGAAAAAATTATGGTAGTTTTAAGAAAAAAAGTGAAAAAAATTACGAATCGATTTTAAAAGTTGTAATTTTTTTGAAAATTTCCCCCATTTACGCGGAACGATGGTAATTTTTTTTATTTTTGAGGGTAATGTCTTCGACTAGATACGACTTGTGACCTTTTGACATATTCTTCATCAAAATCGATTATCAGCTTCGCGTCAAAGCTAAAATGACTAGTTGATACACTTATAAGAACAGTATTTCTGAAGTTATTGATTTGTTTATACCTAGACAAGAGGTAGAGTATTTGTCGTTGATTGAGTAAAGCCAGGAAATGTCTAGTTTTAAAAATAGCAGCATACTATTCACCATTATGTCAAAGTCTTAGATTTTTAAAATATAATCTGATATGTATAAATATATATATTTTTTTAATGCAAATGACTGGTATTCCCCCTACCACGGGGTAATATCACTGAAATATAGTTCACAAATCTATATGTATATAATCATATATAATGTAATATATGTCAAGAGTTGAAGGTGAAAGCTAGTGATAAAGAAGAATGGAAGTTGCTGTAAACCAATCATCAGATTGAATACTACAGGAGAAGAAGATGAAATTTTAAATTTACTTGCATTTTCACATGTCAATTGAGAAT